GCCTTAACTCCATTCCGTTCTATTGTTGTGTCCGTTTTGGCCATGGACAACACTTCACACTTATATAGGTGTTTACAATTGAAGCGACCCTCACTTCACACTTATATAGGTGACCTCCCTGTCAAGAGTATCCTGTATTACTCCACCTTTAAAAGGTTAGGGATTCATTAAAAGTCTATACGACTTACCCTCACCACAACCAACAGGTAATCTTGCACTTGGATTGCTTTAGGGAATAGATTTGGATATTCTAATGTTTCAAGTGCTTAGATGAATTTTCATAGTTTATTTTCCCCTTGAACCAAGTTTATGGGATCTCCATTCAGCAAGGTAGGGTTCCCACTATGATCATTCTTTTCAATGTAGATTTTTAATCCCATTCTCTCTAGCAGTATTCCCAATTGATCTCTATTCAATCCTTTAGTAAAAGGATCAGCCAAATTTTCCTTAGACTTTACGTAGTCAATGGAAATAATACCATTTGTGATCAATTGGCGAACGGTATTATGTCTACGATGAATATGTCTAGACTTACCATTGTACATGTTACTTTGCGCCCTTCCTATAGCAGCTTGGCTATCACAGTGAATCATCACAGGCGACAAAGGTTTATTCCAACATGGAATATCCGATAAAAAGTTTCGAAGCCACTCGGCTTCTTCACCAGCTTTATCTAAAGCGATGAACTCCGACTCCATGGTTGACCGAGCTATACATGTTTGTTTTGTGGACTTCCACGAAACAGCTTCTCCTCCGATACAGAAGACATATCCACTTGTGGAGTGAGAATCTCTCGAATCCGATATCCAGCTTGCATCACAATATCCTTCAAGTACTGCTGGATATCTCGAGTATTTTAGCCCGTATCCAAGGGTGTACTTTAAGTACTTCAGTACCCTTTTCAAATCATTCCAGTGCTCATGACTGGGATTGCTCGTAAATCTACTCAATTTATTCACCGGATAGGCCAAGTCTGGTCGTGTACAGTTCTTCAAGTACATTATACTCCCTATTATCCGTGAATATTCCAATTGAGCAACTGGTTGACCTTTATTGGCTTCCAGATTTATGCTAAGATCAAGGGGTGTCCTAGACAAAGAACCTTCATAGGCATTAAATTTCTTGAGCACTTTCTCTACGTAATAAGATTGTGACAAGACAATTCCATCTTGGGTTCTGATAATTCTTATTCCAAGAATTACATCAGCTAAACTCATATCTTTCATGTCGAAATTTCTTTTCAACATTCGTTTCGTATCCATGATCACGTCATGGCTACTCCCCATGATCAACATATCGTCTACATATAGACATACAATTACATATGTATTTGATGTGTTTTTAACATAAACACATTTGTCACATTCGTTGATTTTTGAATCCATTTGACAACATCACGTCATCAAATTTCAAATGATTGTTTCTGAGCTTGCTTAAGTCCGTACAAGGATTTGATCAATTTGCACACCTTTTTCTTTTGTCCAGGTGCTACAAAACCTTCGGGTTGTTCCATGTAAATCTCTTCTTCCAATTCACCGTTCAAAAATGCCGTTTTGACTCCATTTGATGAATCTCAAGATTGTGCAAAGCAGCGATAGAGAGAAGCACTTTAATTGACGCTATACGCGTCACAGGTGAATAAGTATCAAAGAAGTCGTACCCTTCTTTTTGTTTAAAGCCTTTGACCACTAATCTTGCTTTAAACTTATCAATCGTTCCATCAGCTTTG